TCTTTCTCTGTGTGTTAAAAGTTTATATTGGCTCCTTTTTATTGTTTTTGTTTTTATTTTATCTTTTATTATTTAGATTTTGCCATCTTATGCACCAATGTACCAAGGCAAGTTCCTTGTATGTGAAAACTTACTTGGTAATAAACCTGGTTCTTTAATCCCTCAGTTAGCAGAAGTCATTACAAACTCATTACAAAAGGCAGCACAAAATGATGCACAAGATATTCTTTCTATTTGATAAAATGATGGAGTCTGGGGCTAGAATATTTGCCTCGGTATTACACGATGTGAAGTAACTTCAGGGGAAATAAAAACATAAAGGAATGAAACTCATTTATGTATAGAAGTGATGAATTGAGTCTTGAAGGCAGTCCGATCAGTGTAGAGTCGGATGTCTCTTCGTCACTTTTTTTCAGGAGATGAAGCTTTGACCAAGCTGTGCAGCAGGACGCTTGGCTGTCCAAATAGGATTAATGCTCTGAGCTTTGTGAAATACAACACATCTTTAGAGGATGACGATTAGAGTGAGAGGGAGAGAGACATCCAGAGCCTTCTGAGGGTTATTCTCAAAATCCAGTTTTCTACTCAGTGTGGTCAAATTGAGGACAGATAGCACATTTCTATTAGCTGTTTAATCTGGCTTTGGGGACACTAAAAAGTTACACAAGTGGAATTATTGTTGGCTCTCTTATCTGAAATGATACTGACAGATTTACTGTAGAATAGCTGTACTAAAAGATGGAGTGAGGGCCATGTGAACAAGGCAATAAATGCGCACAATCTGGATGCAGGAAGTGAAAGATAACACAGTCCTCTTCTCAAGGTTGAGCTGTCTTTGACCACATCTGGCATTAACTTGATGTTTTTATCCAACAGGACCATCAGTACATTTTTAGCTTGACCGCTGGGGTAATTAAACCCTTAATTCAAGCAATTCTCAAACTTCACATCCTACTGTACAGAAATAGATAAATAGTTTTCTTGAATTAATTTTAAAACATGTTTTGTGTAATAATTACAGTGATTAATGACGACGTTGCTTCAAAACCTCTTGTCAGACATCTGCAGTCTGCACTAATAGGTTTTCAGTTAGCACATTTGGTCAGGGATCTGTAGCTGTAAACCTTGCAACACTACTCATCAATCATCCACCCCTCATCTAACGTATGTACACGATATAGTACATAACTAAAAGGGATGGTAATGCTAAAACTGTAAAACTTTATTTTTAGCTGAAGTTCTGCATTATATCCTCATGGTGACACTATAGCATAACACACAAGATTTACTGCAGTCAGTCAGTCCTTCAAAGATCTCTATGTTGATTAATTTAGCACTCAATTTGTTCAAATGCAACTTTACAGTCTTAGCTGTGAACAAATGTCAAGTGTAGAAAGTATTTTGACTGTTTGCTTAATTAGAGAAAGAATTAAAAGCAGCTTTCCTCAGGGGGCACATGCACAAACTGCTATGACTGTGACACTGTTATATTAAAATACAGTAGATTTAGTACTAATACTTTATGTGCTCCTGTTTCATATCTGACAGGCTTTCACTGTTGCTTTCACTAAAAATGTCAGATTCAGTGTGATTTCATTCTGTTGATGCTGTCTGTAAAGAAACAGAAAAAATGCCACTTTTACTGATTCTGCTCGACTTGTGATTTGACTGCCTTTTCTCCAGATGAGGCTCTGCAGAGGCAGGAGAAGATCTGGCAGCAGGAGGTGGAGGAGTCTCTCTCCTTCTGCAGGTCACTTTATCATCCCTCCAGACCCAAACACATTGACTTCTTGCGCATCACACCCCCTGAAGATGACATCACTGATACGCCGACAACCACACCTCTCCCTCCGGAGTTTTGGGTGAGAAACTTAGTATTTACTACCATGAGCTAAAAATCTGAAGTTGTTTCATTTGAGGAAATGTCAGCATCCTGTTCAACAGACCTTTAGCTAGTAATATGGGCAAAATCACTGAAATAAGCTGCTGTAGTATTTGACTAAAATGACAATTTATAGATTATTGACTCATAAAGTAATCCTGAGTACAATACCTAACCTTTGTGCATGATTTAAACTAACCTTTTTTTCCACCAGTCCACCTTGAGTCTGACTGTTACATAAAAGTGCAACGCTAAATCAGTGTAGTATTCTCTCTCACTAAATAATAATAATAATAATAACATATTTTTTATATATAGCGCTTTAAAAGGCACTCTTTATATGGTAACAAAAAGACAATAACACAAACAGCAAAGGCAATATCAGTAGCTGTGTGTTTGTTTTCATAAATTAGTTAAATATATATAATAATGATATAAGTAGAACAAAAATATTTGTAGTTTAACCCTTCACTGATACCTTTAAATTACTGTGAAAGACTCCATCATGATCTGTAACTTGTTTGTATTTTATCTCCATTTCTTTCCTAATTTTTTAGCCAAAAGGAAACTGCATTGAACAGCCTTATGTTGCAGGAAACACTCCAATGTTTGAATATATGAGGGCACATAATGTCGATGAAAATCATTTTTCGATTATTTGCTGCTTTTAAAAACGATGCTGCATCATCATGATATTACCCTACAGTGGAGTTTGGTCTCTTTGGGGCCATTGCTTCACGGCCCTGTTGATCCAGGCTCAATAAATAGCCTCATACAGTCACAGTATGTGACAAAGAGTTCCTTGTGGTTACATAACAGACAGGATTTAAAGCCACTCTGTAGGTGCATTGTATAAGAAAAGGTATCTGTATTAGCATGAAATGGTAGTTTACTGGGGTTTAAAGCTCTTAAGCTTTGCCTCTTCCCCTCTGTATACGTGTGTAGGTTGTCCTGGACTCAAGCTTGAGATGAATTACATTTGTTTTGAACATACTGTGACACGATTGTTTTCATACTAAGATAACACATTGCATGAGACATATAGACAGAAGGTGACATGTGATAATGATAACAAAATGCTTATTAAAACAGGATTAAAAAGTAGACATTAGGACAATAATGTTTGATTACAATAAAAAACAGCCTTCAACCAAACAACAATCTATAAACGATAGAGAATCGGTTCCAAAACCAAAACAAGTAGCAACATCTACAGAAATCATTACCAGCTTTGCAAATTAATGTCTCATAGAGCTGTGAACTTCCCAAACATATCCCATGCCAGCTATATGAGTAATGTTCTCTAAGGTGGAATGAACTTAAGAAAGGCAGAGGGACGTTAATGATTGCAGCAGAGACGATATTTAAGAATATGTGATATGAATAATGTGAGAAATAAGTAGGTAAGTTTAGGTCTGTAACCATTCAATTTTATACAGTCACACTACATTGTGATACTGTATAAAGAACATTTAGGCTCACGCTGTATTTCTGCAGCCTAATGCCTGATGAAGTCCGGTGTGTTTGTTCTGATTCTAATGCTATTTCACAGGATTATCTGAATTCATTCCTCTTACATAAACACAGCTCACATAAAGGCCACAGTGTCCCTCCCTGAGAATGCAAAAAACACTTTATTAGTATTCATATGATTTAGTGTAGCCAGTTAAGACGCAGGGTGCAGGCATGTCTCAGAGTGCAATAACTGTCTGAGAAAGTTGCACAGTGACATACAGTAAAAATATTATCACTCATGTGATCTGTCACTTACCTGCTGCTGCTGAGATAATGCAACATAAAAGCAAACAAGGGTGGAACCTGATAACTAAAAATAACCCAAACATGAACCAATGAAGAAGAAAGTTTAAGGTCCTACTTTGATTTTTTTTTATGCTGAGGAATGCAAAAGAAACAGTGGAAAGGGTTAGGGTTAGGGTTAGGAAAAAAAAAAGCTCCATGAAAGTGTATTAGTTTTCTCCCTCTTGTTTTTCTTTGTGACTTTGTATGTGTTTTTTGTCTGAGGAGAAGTGTTTTCACATGGTCTGTCTTTATATGCACATTTCAAATGTTGTATTATATTTAGTTTTTATGGTACACCACTTTATATACATATATACTGTATCATATAATCTGTGGACCCTTTTTTTAAATTAATTTAGTTTTATATTATTTTTCAGTTTGATTTATTTCCGTTTATTTCTCCTTTTTGTATTTCTCTCTTCAATTTCCGGTTCTCGGTTGTGATGCTGTTTGTACCCTTGTTTTGAGAATTTATTTACTTATTGATTATTTGGTTTGTAAGGTTTGTTTGATGGTTTGTTTTTAAATCGTTTGACATTTTTGGTCATTTATTACCACCTGATATTTCATTATTTTGTATTGATCTATGTTACTAACATGACTGTGACTCAGTTTATATTTTATATGTTACATCTTATTTTCAATTGGAACATTTTTGTGCCCATATTTTGACATTTTTTTAAAGCATCTATTGATTAGTTTTTTGTTTTGTTTGTCCTTTTTGTATTGATCTGTGACACAATTTTTACATTTGTTTTGAGCAGTCATTTCTTCTTTCTTACATCTCACTCTTGATTGTCTTGATTGAACTTTATTTTGAAAAGCTATTTATTTGTTTGTTTGTTTGTTTTTTTATTTTATGCACAAAAACATTTGTGGAGCAAGTTACATACATATTACATAATGCATTAAAAACATTGCAATTAACATTGTCACTAAACCAAATGCTTTTATTTTCACAACCAATAATCTGACAAAACTTCTCTATCTGTCCATAGTGTATGTTAGATTTAATGCGAGCTTGTACAATGTAGGTGGGGTTAGACCCGCTAAGACGCTCAGATTAGCCGGGTGTTGCTCCTGCAGGGGAGCTGAGAGACCCTGTCACTGTGGATTTACAGGCCAAACGTTTAACAAGTGATCTCTGGCAGTCCTATTTACCCTCCTTCTGCTCTGGGTGTGGTGTCTCTCCATCTGTTGTGGGTGGCTTCCTTTGCCTTACGGCTCACGGATCTGCCAGGGTGTTGTCAGAAACGGTGGCTGAAGTCACCATCTGCTTCCAATTACACTATGACAGTCTGCAGGACGGCATCCAAGATGCAGTAAACGGCTGCAGAAAGTATAGAGGAGCCAGAGGGACGGGGAGGCAGAACTTGGAAGCTAAAGCCACGACTTGGATCTGACTTTTAACTGTGGTTGAGCTGAGTCACTCTAGCCGGCAGAGCCATGGAGCCGGGCTTCACTTTTCCATTACTCTGTGGATTTCTCTCCTGTTATTGGTCACTTTGAGTGACTAACAGCTGCTTGCAGTTTTAGGTTTGGAAATTTAGTTCTCTGGTAAGACATGAAGGAGGTGTTGTAGCAGTGAAAGGATACATCTTTTTCTTTTCAACAAACTGGAGCGGAAACAGGTCGGATTTTTAGAAGTGGTGATATAACTTTATTGACTTTGTCGTATTTAATCATAGTAAGTGGAAGTTGCATGATCCTGGAACCACTTGCGCAAATTAGTGCATGCCACACAGATGCCTAAACACTAATTACACCTTCTTATCCTGCATTTTTCTGATGTAAGATAGCAGAATGCTGCACTTAAGTCTCAAATATGAGCTGTGTAAATGGTAACCACAATGTTGACGTTGTGGGAAAAGCTTTTCAAGAACTTTCTGCGCCCTCCATTCTGGATAACTTCACCACTTTCTTAATTTAACTTAATCTTTCTCCTGGAAAATGGAGGAGCAAAAAGCCATCCTAAAATGCTTCAGGACCCTTTCAGAGGAGGAAAATGAGGACATAATGCAAGGAGAGACTGAGCTGAGCTTCAATCTAAAGAAAAATGGGCATATACGTTTTGAAGATGCTCTGGAGAACAGTAGAGACTCTTTATCATATGTTATATGGCCTCATGACGGAGTAAAGATCACCTCTAACTCAGTGGGACATCTAACTAAGACAGAAGCAGGCAGTGACTCTGACATGACAGAGCAGGAGAGGAATGATGTCAACCTAACAGAGCAGCGAGTCTTTGCTGTAAATGGCTCAGAGAAACAGACCTTTGCAGCAAATCAAGAGCAGAATAAAATGCCAGACGAACACTGTGATCAAGTTAATGGCTGCAGCAATGAGGGTTGTCATGTATCACTGGATGAATGTGCCTTGAAGCAATCTCTGCAAGCAAAATGTCAACACATTTCAACCGACTGCACAAATACAAATTGTGAATGTGTTGCACCAATCAGCATTAAGCAGGATGACACTAAAGAGGCTGAACAGAGAATAAGGGAAGAGTATGAAAATGTTCACTGCCAAGAAGATTTTGTCACTTCCAGTTCGGATGTGGGATGTGAATCTGCGAAATCTGAAACCAAACATGTTGTGATAACTGTGACTCGGACAGGACCTGCAGTCGAGGAACAGGCCGAACCATTAGTAACACCAACATTGGAGCAAACTGGGGGCCCTTCCTGCTTCAAAAATGATGAGGAGGAGGAGAGAACAGGTGCAGAGGAGGACAATGAAGAAGAAGAGAAAAGAGATGTATTTCCAGACTCTTCTGCCCAACCCCACCTACCTCCCAGCCCAACATCACCAAATATTTTCATAACACCTGCAGCCACTAACCCTCCACCTGGATCCACCTTAACCAGAGCTACCTTCTCTCCGGGCTCCCCAACGGACAAGCAGGTCCAGCTCCCCGCCCTCTTCAGCGGACTGAGGGTCCTGAGGAAGGGGGTGGTCGGGCCAGAGCACGACACTGTGGCCCAGATCAAACCTTCATCTCAGGGAGCAAAGAGGGACATTTTCCCTGAGAAACAAGGGGATGCTAAAGTTCAGGGTAGTTTTCTGGACCAGATCTCCCAGTTCCTGAGCCGGGAGAAGAGAGAGAGAGATGAAAAGGAGGCGAAGAAGGAAATGGAGCCTGAGGGAGACCAGGACGACACCATAGAGAGCAATGTTGAAGAAAGTGAAGAGGGCGAGAGGAAAGGGCTTGAAACAGAGGAGGAAGCAGAGGTTTCATGTGAGTCTACAAAACCTTCTGTGTCTGGTGCAGAGGCAGCATTTGATGCCTTCAAAGCTTTTTTCACCCCAAAGCCACTGAAGAAGGACCCATCAGAAAAGGTGGACCTCGAGGCAGTGAGGAAGAAGATAAGAGCAGATAAAGATGTTCTGAGAGCACTTTTTGAGAGAACTTCCAATAAGACTCCAGAGAAGAAAGACTCACCTGATTGCAAAGTACGAATTGTGTATCAACATCAAGCACAGTTTTTATTTCTTACTTGTTGTTTGTAGAAAACTAGCATCACCAGAGTTAATATCCTAATACTGCCCTGTGTTTAAATATATACAAACTCTATTTATGATTGATTCTCTTTTTACCTTTTAGTCAGAAGCATCCACCCCGGGAGAGGGAGAAGAAAGGACTCCTGGTCGTCTACAAGCTGTCTGGCCGCCACTTAAGGAGGAAAAAGTTGGGCTGAAGTATACAGAAGCAGGTACCAAACACACATTGTACACACTTCTTCTCCCCAATGAAATAAACCCTAGTGTTTTGTTGACACTTGGTTTTCCAACCTTATTGATTGGGGTTCCACAGACTCCTCTACAGAATGTGTAATAATAATAATAGTAATAATATTGGAACAATTAATTATTCTTTTCTTCTAACCGTAATAAAATCCAATATGTATAATAAGTATTTAAGTGGTCACCCTTCTCTTATGTACAACCTTAGCTTGCACAGTTGATAAAGCTGACAAAATACAAAGATGAGCATCAAGTATTGTTCTCACACTGAGCAAGGAAATACTTGATGTTTTATATGCTTCATGTGATAGATAGATTATGAACAATGTTATAATCCTCTGTTTGCCAAAAGGTCATTTACAGACTAAGAAATTTACAGTATGTTATCCTACATAGTGACATTACTTATGTTTGGGGTCAATTAGACCTCAAAGAAATACAGAAATACAAATAGACTCATACTGCTGCGTAAAAGTGCTTACTGCTAACAACAATCACAGATAAAAAGATGAAGATCCATTATATTTAACCATGTTTTACAGTAGTAATATCTTATATTCTGTAGCTGACAAGTCAACATTTCCAAATCTGACAGAAATTAGGAAATGTCATGAAGTATCAAGCCAATAAAAGAGTGTTAAGTATATGTTTGGAGGTGTTAAAGAGGGCTATGATCTTCAGGAGGGCACAATAGGGAACAACAGGGTTAAAAACATGGGTTCAATTATGCTAGAATCACTGCCCTCAAATACATCACCCCCCTATAAAATGAAAAATAAAAATCCCCACAGATTCATCATGTTAAACCGTGAATATTCATGACAAATGTTGACCTGAGACAGTAGAGGGAGTAGAAGTGTTTGCTCTTTGATATCATGTGGCTCTATTGCTACTGTAAACACAACTCCACCCTGAGTGTGTCCACAGAAAACTAGTCTGTAAAGTACATGTGCTAATATGAAGGGATTTCTTTAGATTACACACTGGACTGTGGTGCCTTTAAATCCTTTGAAAAGGGTGTTTTTTATTACCAATGACACCTATTTTTTTGCCTTAAACAACTTGGTACACAATTTAAAATATAAAATGATCTTTGGTGCCACCTAGTGGTAGTATTGTGGCAGACAGCAATCCATGCTGGTACAAAAACTTAGACTTAATGACCCCTTTATTTGGTACATCTGTACAAGCTATTACAGTTCAACAGTATAGGCATCATAAAGTAGATTTTTAGGGCTGAGCTGTTGTATTGGATTGAATTAGATTGCACAGGTGTACCTAATAAAGTGTCCACTCAGTGTATATCTCTAGATAACTTGAAAGCAATGCAGTAATCACATAAAAATAAAACATTTAGTGACTTTAAATGAAGGTTAAATAAAAACAAGATCACTTTTCCTGTATTATTTCCAGTTATTCTGCTTCTAGCTAGAATTTGCTTTATTCACATGAAGGTCAAATGTCAAAACATTTTGAACTGTAATGAGTACTAGAAATCTTTAATCAATGATCTTTTATTTTAACTTGCATGAAACTACGTGGTACAAATAATCTGTCAGTCACAAAATGTTTTTAATAGACAATTTTTTTAAAGAAACACAGCTAATAGACGCATGCACATCTGCTTCCTTCGTTATTTCAATAGATAATGAATATTAAAAATGTCTACCTCTATTTTTCAGTAGGATTATTAAAGGCTGTTTGAGTTTGAGGAATGACATTGTGTGCACACACCCACCTTCCTGGAAATACACTTCCTGTAACCCTGCAACACTGTAAGGAAGGTGACAGTAAATACACTTTCTAAATGACCATTCAATAAGTTCAGTCATCCGTAACCAGATAAATGTTTGCTTACATAGTTTGTCCAAGATGCCAGCTAGAGCCGGTGAGCGTGTGGAGTCAGTCTCTACTGCCATCCTCTGGTAAAGTTTTGTAATGTTTTTGTGTTTGTCCTCGACAACTACCGTATCCTCAAACACCCCCCAGCCTCCTCCCGCGTGGTGGTATAACATAAATCTGATTTGTTATGCAAAATTAGTCACAGTTCTCAAGTGTCTCACGGTTGTTGTAAGTTGTTTGTCTTCAGCTTGTACCCAGCCACATCACTAATATACTCATCATGGAAAAGAAAGCGCTCTCGGGCAGCAAAGCTGTAATAATGAACATCTGTTGTGGTACAAGAAAGAACACAAAGCTATTGTAAAATGCTCTTTCTCGTGTTTCCTCTCAGAGCACCAGGCTGCTCTCTTGCAGCTGAAGAGAGAATGCAAAGAGGAGCTGGAGAAGTTACAGGTCAGTATGAAGGATGTAGTGATGGGTTGAACACTGGTGTGCTGCAAGGTGCCAAAGTTATATACTTAAAGGGACTTGTCTGACATTTTGGTATATACACTTACCTGCTTTTTTGCCGAGAGTTAGATGGGAAGATTGATGCCACTCTTATGTCTGCACAATATGAAACTGGAGCCAGCAAATAGTTAGCCCAGCTTAGTACAAAGACTAGAAACAGCTAGCCTCCAAACATAAATGTGTTGTTTTTATTAAACAAATGAGATATAAAAAGTTAATTTGTGAGCTTCAAAGGTGCAGGTAGTCAGATTTTATTATGTTTGGACAGAACCCGGGCTAACTGTTTCCCCCGTTTCTATCCTTTGTGCTAAGCTAAGCTAACTGCTAGCTTCGATTCTGAAAAATCTTAACATGCAAAAAATGTGATATGTGAATTTGTATATAGGAAAGCTTACAATTCACCATATATGGGAAATAAAGCTTCCCATAATAAGTGATTAATTATTTACTTGGGTTTAGATTAAGTTTTTCTGTCAAGAACATTCCTATTTTCCCTATAATTAAAACCAAATTAGAAGGTATTTCCAAGAAACTTCTTGGGAATTTTTATGAAAATGATACAGCATTACCTAAACAGTCTTTTCTTAAGGAGTCAGTTTTTATGAGATTCTAGAAATACCTTAAAAAACACATAATAAGTGATGATAAACAACAGATCACTAGAGATTTACAGTATTAAAGAGAAACAGATGCTAAAGTTCTGAAACTTGACTGTAATACTAATACACAAGCTTCAGTCTAACTGATACTATTTTCAGGAGGACTATGGTCAGGAACTCTCCAGACTGAGGGTGGAAAACGAGGACAATGTCGCCCGTCTGGAGTTCGCTCTGACTGAGCTGCAGGCCAAACTATCCCAGGTTGGAACTCGCCCTCGCGGTGAACTCAAAGATGTCGCTGTTTCAACGGGAGACGACTTTTTACACAAATCCTTCCGCACAGTCTGCATCCAGACAGACCGAGAGACATTTGTTAAGACTCCTGAGAATGGAGAAGGTACGGGGAGGTCCTGCACGAGCCCTCTGCAGCAGAGGGTGACCCCCAAAAAGCTGGACCTGGCTTCTATCAGCCTCAGCCTGGCTGGTCAGAGAGACGATACTTTGTCTTCCTCCTCATCTCTTGACCCTCTTCCTCCTCCTGGAGCCACGCCACCTCTATCAGAACAACCACCTGCTCCTTCTCAGACAACAGTACCAACCGAAACACACAATCTGCCTCCTCCCCCCCCTCCGCCATGTTTGTCTTCACCCCTAAACCACATGCAGCCATCAAATGGCCCTCCACCTCCACCTCCTCCTCCTCCTCCGTTCACACCAGGCTTAGCTCCCCCACCACCTCCTCCTCCAGGTGGCAGTCTCATGGCTGATAAACCTCCCAGGAAACCGGCAGTGGAGCCATCCCGACCCATGAAGCCTCTTTACTGGACCAGAATCCAGATCCAGGACAACAAGTAGGTTCATAAGAATGAGTGCATTTTTAAATTAGATTATATATCACATGATCTTAATTGAAATCAAACACTCATTTAATTAGATTTTAAGTTTAATTAAAACATTTTTTATCAATAAAATAAAATATAAAAAATTCTTTAATGTGTTTCCTAATTATTTCTTTATAATTCCATATATCTCCAAAAATTTTATTATATTAAAAAATACGTTTCAATCTTAAATTTATATATTTATGTATATTATTTATTTAAATTACTGTTCATTTATTCTATTCTTGTATTTTACATTTTATTATCAATTTTCTTCTCGTGTGTTGTGTTCATATCTGGCCATAAAAAGTGATTCTGATTATTAAATCAATTATTGTATAAATCAATATAGTAAAATTTATAAATCAACCAAGAAATTGTAAAATAATTAAATAGTTCATTAAAACTCAACTGAAATTAAATTATATTATGATCTAAAAACTGACATTTGAAAAAGTAAAAAATATATGTTATATATATATATAACTTATATTGTTTATAATTTTATTATTTTTTTTTTTTTATCTTTATTTTTTTTTTTTTTTTTTTTTTTTTTTTTTGTTTTTATATTTTTTTTTTTTATTTTTTTTTTTTTATTTTTTTTTTTTGTTTTTTTTTCCTTTGCTTGTGCCCCCTGACTGCAAAATCAAAGTTTAACATTAGGGTAATAATACAAGCGGAACTAAAATTATCGTTAACAAATTACTAAAATTAACTGAACTCTGGGTTAATAATGCTACATTATAGTATTTGAAAATATTATATTAAAATTCATGTTCTCTTCCCTCAGTAACGACACACACTGTGGAAATCTTAGAGGAACGCAAATTTAATCAATTACCAGCGAGTTTGAAGAGCTCTCTTCGCCAAAACCACCAACCGCAGACAAAAGGAAGCCTGTCAGAGGCTTATGGAAGAGAAAGCCAAGCCAAGAAGGTAACAGCAAAATGAATTGAACATCATGCAAGACACTCTTCATTTTTTGGGATTATTTGCAGTAGTAATTTGTCCATCTAGAGGGGTTGATGCCATTGATTAGCACTATGATTATAAATGTGCTAAAGAGCATTATAAATCCAGACTGAAGACACAATATAAATATAAAAAACAGACATTTAAATCAGCTGTGTGGCTAATACCTAATAACAATCTTCAAATAGTTTTGCTCCATGAATTTACAGCAATAAAACTCTCAACCAGTAAGTCACTAATGTCTCAGTGCAAGATAGTCCATTGTTACTGTGTGTTAGTGGTGTGTTGTGTGTGTGTGTGTGTGTGTGTCAGATCATTAAGCTGTTGGATGGGAAGCGATCTCAGGCCGTTGGCATCCTCATATCGAGCCTCCACCTGGAGATGAAAGATATACAACAAGGTGAGTTATATAGCTTTTCATTCATTTAGTTGTGTTGCTCAGAAACAGCTTGGGTCAAAGTTCAAATTTCCTGTCAGCTGCTGATGTTTCCTGCAACAGGAAATCCACTTGGATATCCATGTATAATATTCTAATATGATGCAGAACCTCGGATTTTAAAGGCTCTTGAGCCGCTCAATTTCAAGTTAATTTGTTGTTTTAGTTATAAAAAATATAGCAAAATTATATGTGTTTTTCTCAAGCTCAGATAAGTGTATGAGTGCATAAAAAACAGTCCAATAACAGCTAGTTAGAATTTATTATTTTACCTTTTCCACAATTATAATTTGTCAAAAGCAGTCCATAATTTTGGGGGTACTGTAGACTCTAGATAAATGTAGGAAACTACTCCAATCCATATATAAAATGTATATATGTCACATCAACCATATAGTTTAAATTAATCAATCAAATACTCAAAAGTATCTCTAGTACTATATCGCAGTGTAAACAAAGTTGGTTTATCACTGTGAATTGATATCACAATACTTTATTTGATGGTAGTTTTGAAAAAATGTGGGTCAGTATCAGTGGTGGAAAGTAACTAAGTACATTCATTTACTCAAATACTGTACAATTCTGAGGTACTTATACTTCAGTATTTAAATTGTATGCTACTTTTATCCTTTACTATATTTCAATGGGAAATATTGTACTTTTTTACTCCATTACAGAAGCTGGTACAGTATTAAAATTCTTCTTTCATGTTAATGTATCAGTAATAATATTACAACAGTATAACATATAATTATGTAATACTGACACAGTCCCTTTAGCATAGTGAGTACTTTTACTGTGATACTTAAAGTATACATTTCACTCATATGACTTTTCCTCAAGTAAGTTAGTAAAGGATCTGACAAATTCTTCCACCACTGGTCGGTATTGACATTGATTTTCAGGTTTTTCCTCCATATTTATACACATTTAGTGTTTCCTGCCAGATATTTATTCTTACTGTGGTGGAAAACCCACTGAAATAGCAATGATGAGAATGAGAATTACCATTAAAACCTCAGAGTGGGTGTAATCGAAGAAACATCATCAAGTCTTCTAATCATCATCACTAAACTAGCTGTATTTCTGCAACTTCATCTGTAAACATTCAGGTAACCGCAGTTCCCTGAACATCAAACTTGTTTAACTTTAACCCTGGCCTCACACTGAAGTTGCCCTGTATTTCACTCTGAATTTGAGCTGGTGAGGATTAAAGGCTAAAACACAACCACAATGTGAGCAAGCTAATCCAAAACTCCCCAAAATCAATAAAAATCAGAGGATGGACTTTTATCCCTCTTAGCATAGTTTCATGTTTCAGTCTTTTTTTTATTTAAAAACATCTGCAGCCCAAATAAAATCATCATTTCCTGTGCATTGGAAGATTTTCTGCATTACTATTGAGTTATGTAAGTTGTTGATCGATAGACAGAGGTAAAAGGGGCAGTTATGATGAAAATGTTCTTGAGTTTTGAACATGAGTCAAATACAGATCTCTTAACATAGCAGACACACACACAAGGGTGTAAGCACAGCTGTCCAATGGTTACCTCGGGTTACTAACATGACCTCTGTTCAACTGATAGTCCGACAGAAAGAGCCCCATGTGAACTCAGACTGATTGACCTTGTTCAACAGAGAGTTTGTGACCCTTTCACAATCAGCCAGCTAATTCACTGTTGTTGCTCTTTCTTCACAAACTGGTGGACATGTCTGCTAATAATCCATCTTCTTCCCACGAGGGAGAAGTCAAAGCCTCTTTAATTTCTCAGCCCAAAACAGGAAAACTGCCTTCTAGTCATATAACTGTCGTGGTGTCTGATACCATTTCTGTATTATTTTCAGTTGGATATACCTGTTGGCCATTTCTTCATTATTGTATTATTCATGCATAATTTCCCACCGTTTGGAGACATGTTCATGGCTAGGAATCTTGTCCATTGACCTTGATCAGATGGTCACACAGTTGTTCCTGCAATAAGTGATGAAGTCAGTTAAATCTAGTAAGCAATTCTTTATTTATGTTTCCCATGAGTTCTCTAACCTTTAGACAAGTTACTTGTCACGTCTCAAAATTTGATTATGTGGTATTTATGTAGCTATTTATGTATGAAATAAATTGGAAAGCTAATGAATCCCAGATTGTTGTGCCCCATTAAAGGGACACTTCACCCATTTGCATTAAGCTTTGTATCGTTAGAAACCCAGTCATATTTTTGAATGGTCGTGCACCATTCCCTCATTTTCCCTAGAGATGGGGAGAAATATGGGCATTTCAGTCTGGCACGGCTTCTGGGGCTTCCAATGATGTAAATAAGTCGGTGCCATTTTGCATCACTGAGAGCCAGGAAGCTCTCATTCTTTGTAGACGGGGGTGGAGACTACAAACACTCTTTTGCGTTCGGTCAAATAGGCCACCAACATGCGCGAATTTTATCTACATTTCGACTACATACGATAAAACCCAGCTTTCATAAAGATTAATGTTTCCACGAGTGAAGTGCTTCTTTAACCTCATTGTATCTCTGCTTTTAGCTGTACTGTCAGTGGACCACTGTGTGGTGGACTTGGAGACCATTGAAGCACTGTATGATAATGTAGGTATTGCAGAACCCTTTGCTACTATTTAACTACAAGTGCAATTGTACAATTATGAACCCCTTCTTTATATTTTATTGTGTCAGAGAGCACAACCAGAGGAACTGGAGACAATCAAGAAACACTACGAGACGTCGGAGGAAGAGGAAGTCAAACTGCTGGACAAACCCGAACAGTCAGTATCTCACCTGGTGGCAAAAATGTTTAGAGGGTATATTGTGTGTCAGCAGTGCTTTGAGGGACGGACAATATCATTACATTTGCTCTGTTACTGTTGATGTGGTTGTGCTCCAGGTTCCTGTATGAGCTGTCTCAGATCCCAGACTTTGCCGGCAGAGCTCACTGTATTATCTTCCAGTCGGCTTTCATTGAAGGGATCGGGTCCATCCAACGGAAGCTCAACACTGTCAATTCTGTCTGCGAGGTAGGAAACATGTTAAATGTTTAAATGTGATCAGATGGGTCAGATGTTAGATATTTTCAGTGATGATCTGAGGTGTTAGTACTTAAAACCATAAAGTTGATCCTGCGTGTGTTTTCTATTTTGAGGCTCTGCTGGAGAGCGATAGTGTGAGGGGAGTGGTGGGACTGGTGCTGGCTCTGGGGAACCACATGAATGGAGGCAGCAGGGTCAGAGGTCAGGCCGACGGCTTTGGCCTGGAGATTCTACCTAAACTGAAGGATGTGAAGAGCAGGGTAAGGCCTTGATAACTGTAGGAGGACTGTAGTGGCTGCCTTAGAGGTCACTTTATCCCTACCTGTCATTTTTCTTTAGTACTGCATAATTTACTCATAGTACATATAGTTTTCTTAGAGATGGAGAATCAGAAATAATTAGAAATAAAATGTGCTTCTATGAGTTGTGGTATTTATTGATGCACCAACACTACTTTATACTTTAAATCATCTTTCATTTACAGCTAAAAATGAGAACTTTACTGCCGTATCTTTGATTAATGTTCAGTTCAAATATCTTTTAGGAAAATATTAACTGTAAATCAAAAACCTGCAGAGGAAGTGGCAGAACATTTTTCAATTCAATTTTCAATCCAGCCTCAACAGCCCCTCCAGTCACAGGAGGCCAAACCCTGGGTCCATAAAGCACATTCTGCAAGCTTGTAAAGCTGAGAAATACATCTTATAAAGGGTTTTAAAGAAGGCACAGGGATATGACAGTGAGCTACTAGCCTGCGCACTAAGGTTTTACTTTTTACTGATGAGGTTTTCACACTTCTACTTTATTTCTTCTCAGGACAATCGTATCAGCCTGGTGGACTATGTGGTGTCATACTACTTGCACTATGTGGATAAGGTACAAGTTGCTCGGTTATTGACATACTGTTGTTACTTTGTATGCTTTACTCTACATGAAGCTGATGTATTTATATAGTTTCCCTGTAAGTAGTTGAATATAGTTGGTATTCATCAAGTTCATGGAGGAGAAATGGTTGAGTGTGCAAGGTGGGGAAAAGGTGGACAGTGATAGATTTGCAGCCTTTAGTAGTGCTTCATCAGAATCAAAAGGGATAAAGATATAAGGCGAATGCATACATAATCAACCTAGATTTAAAATTTGCTGGATGGAACAATAATGCATCTGAGGGTGAGAGTTGCCATAGTTAACTCACTGTTCTGCAGAGAGGCATATTGGATTTAAACTCTTTAGATGATTTATTGGCAGAAAAGGAATAT